AAAACAATGAGCTAAGACTTACATGTAAGATGTCTAAATCTACGCCATATCCCTTACAAACCCTAACGATAATTCGCTGAAATACAAGTTAGCCTGATATGTCATTAAGCAAACAAACGCTGGAGTTAATATTTGATATGCCGATTTTCGCTAATTTTAGACACATCCTAAAATATGCTCCCGATTTTGAACATTAATATCTCCGTGAATTTTTAAGTAAAATACAACTGTAATGTATCAAAATCTAAGTTAGTCCTTCCTCTATTTAATGCAAGTTATTTCTCTTTAAAAGCTTTACTTGTTTAGAAGTTATTACGAATCAAACAGGAGTACGTTTTTTTGGGACACCCGGTATAAGGAAAATTAAAACCAGCAAAGCTTTACCTACCTTGATCTATTTTTCTAAGGCGCTCAATTTAAAATTATGTAAATTTTCCGCGAACACTCAAACATTTTTCTTTCCCTTTCCTCGAGCATGAGTGATGAATTGCTCGTCGAAAAAACTCGGTAGTTGTCGTATTTTACGAATTTCCACGTGACCGGTACGCTCACCGCCGCTCACCGCCGCTCACCGCGACACGAAATTTAGAGCTATATGAAAGTTGCATGCCATATATGGCATGCAACAAAAAAAATTAGTTAGGCCAGCAATTTGGCCCGCGGCCCGCAAAAACTGACCCGCAGCCCGCAAAAATTGACCCGCAGCCCGCAAAAATTGACCCGCAGCCCGCGGCCCGCAAAATAGCTAGACCCAGCTGGAACAAATTACTCGGACCTGCAAATTTGCTTCATATCACAAACACCATGCACAAAAAGTTGATACATTTTTCTTACCTCTTTAGTGTTGCGGATGTTTTGGTCCTGTTGGTGGAAGGAAAAATTACTGTGGTACTGAATGCAGAGCTAAAAATGGTGGAACTATTGTGAAGAATGTCTATACATGGTTTTGGGTGAGATCATCGCTACCAAAAAGAGTCTGGAACAAATGCATGGAATATAAAGTGACTGTTGCTCAAGGGAAAGTGGTTTGGTACAAGTTATATAATGGAACTGCTGTTCCAATGATGGTCAGTTTTTACTTAGTTTTCTTTCATTTTTCTTTCAACGGCGCTAAATAGGCAATACCATTGGCTTTTGGCCGATTGTTTTCTTTAACTTTCGAAATAAAAGTAGACAATAAAGGTCCGAGCCCAGAAACATCGCTTTTTGTATCTTTTTAGGGTCGATGTGATCAGAATGAAGCTCTTCTGAATGATGGCGTAAGGCAGTCCCCGGCGAAAATTTGATGAATTATTCATGAAAAATTCATGAATTTTGTTCATGAACTTCCATCAAAAGTACATGAACTCTTCATGAATGTGCATGAACGTTAAATGGCACAGTTCATGAAAGTAACAGTTCATGAATAACAAGTTCATGAACTTTTTTGTTCATGAACAGTTCATGAACTAATGTTCATGCATTTTTGAAGAGCAAATCATGAGCTATATTCATGAACTTTTCATGAATTTTCTCATGAACATTAAATGGCACAGTTCATGAAAATTGCTGTTCATGAATACTTCATGATCTTGTAATCATGAACATTTCATGAATCATTCACGAATAATTCATGAATAATTCATGGTCAGCGTTTCATGAATCCTCATGAATTTTCATGAAGTGATTCATGAACACTTCATGGCACAGTTCATGATCAATATGCATGAAATGTTCATGAACTGATTTAGATTTCTAAAATTGGAAACCATATTATAACATAGTTCATAATCTTTACTCTATGAGAATGGGCCTGTCAATGAAATCGTATAATTATAATATACGAACCATGCACTTATGAATCGTTTGGGAAAAGGCTCATGAAATTATTCACCAACATTTTATGAATTTTAACTAGTCTTTAAAATCCAGCTACGCTTCAATTTTTACCTATATACTGTTTAACAAATATAAAACATTTTCCGTGTTGATATACAGTTATATCAACACGAGTGGAAATTGGGAAAACGAGAAATTGTGTGGAAACACGACGCCCGAAGGGCGGAGTGTTTTCACACAATTTCGAGTTTTCCCAACTTCCACGAGTGTTGATATAACTATATATCAATACGGAAGAAATGTTTCATATTTGTTTTATAATATAGCAATGTCAAAAGCCCGAAGAATAAGAACAATTTCCGTGTTACAAGCGGCGGAAAATTTCCCGTGTTGACATGGAGTTATATCAACACGGCTCTTAGCCAATCAGCGTTCAGAATTTACAAATGCTATATTATAAATACAGTTAAACTATTACAAGGTTGTCTTTACTATATGTGTTCATATATATGCAGTTCAGTATGACATGCAAACTTAAAAATAACTTCAATCTTCATGCACGCATTTCTTACTAAAACTACTTACTGTCGAAACAGCTGAAATAACAAATTAAGTCTTCCGACCAGTCATGCCGCATTTTACCACAGGGCAAACTCGCAAACAAGGCAACAAATGGCATGAACCTCGTCATACATCCATTAACAAAATCACGTATTTGCTTATAGATTATATAGGAGTTTATTTAGGCATGTCTTGGTCAAATGTGTGCTCGTAATAATCTATATAGTGTACATTATGAATGCTAAGAAATGAAATACGTTCCACTTTTACGAGTCTTCTTAATTCAATAATAATTCCTCATTCAAATAAGTTGATGGCAAAATCATGCACGACTATATATAAATTTAATCGATTCAAAACTCGATTTCTTATATACTGTATATACAGTTCATCACAGTATTATCACTTCGACTCTGTCTCGATCCGTACAATATTTGCGCCATGCGGTTGCGCTGTCATACCATAGAAAATTTAGCTACTGTAAGATCAATACTTGGCAATTAAAGATTGAGGAGACACCTATAGTTCCGAGTATATGTACACTATGTTTGTTAAACATTTGATATAACGCATTTATTGAAACGTTTTGGGCATATTAATTTATGGCCGTATTAAAAACGGTGATCCGATATACTATTATAACTTACTTGATTGCGCTTAATTTACGCTATACTATTTGCTGGAATTTCGCTGACGTAGCTATACCCCTCCTGGTAATTTCACCAACATTGTATTCTTGAAATACATATCCAAGCCAACAAACTCCAGTAAACCCAGCAAGAACAACGAAGAACATAATAAAACTGAAGTGCTGCGTTACAAAAGCACGCAAATTTGTCTTCCCACACTAAATGTGAGCTGTATTTGTATATAGCTCGAGGCTTGGCCGTCAGCCTGTCTACATGGCCAAGATGCGCAAACCTGATTAGATATCAAATAAAATTGGCAGAAAAGACGTTCAGAGTTTGATTCAGGTAGAAATGAATAGTATAAAAGTATAGACCTTCAAGACAGCTTTTTCTATATATTGACCATAACCACGCATCAACTAATGTTTCAGAAATTGCACTTTTTCAAATATCACTCAATTTGAAATGACAAATTTAATACAGACTACAGTAGTGAATATAGTGTATAATTCTTTACAGACTCGTAATATACGATCGTAAAGTTAATATCATTAAACATGCATCGACATTCATTAAATTAATACATTTTATAAATTATTTATGATGTATTATAATCCACTAAAACTGTTCATGAATAGTTCATGGTAGTTCTCAAAGCGAAATCATGAACGTTCATGAATCAGTACAAATTCATCAAAATTTCATGATATGTTCATCAAGTAAATTCTATGAATTTTTCATGAATAACCAGTTCATGAAATATTCAAATGAACATTCATGAACATTCATGAACTATTCTGTTCAAAACAAAACGTTCATGAACTGATTGGCCATTCATCAACTGTTCATGAACAGTTCATGAAGAGCATTCAAGAACACTTCATGAACACTTGTTCATGAACCATAAGTAAAATATTTGATGAGCGGAGCATGAACTGTTCATGAATGTACATGAACGTTCATGAATGCACCATCAAAGTTCATGACTTCATGAACAAATTTTCGCCGGGGCATTGACGTGTTAAACGTAAAATTACACGAATAAAGTTTTATATTTGTTATGTTAAATCTGTGCTAGTTCTATTTCAAGATTTTCAGCACCATCTCATGCGGAGATATATAAAACTAGTTTCATATTATTTTGATACTTCTGAGAAAAACTAAAAATTCGAACTTGCATCTTTGGATATCTAGACTCGCTACCAATCCCTGTTGACTCGATAGCTCAATATATATGTATAGAAGGAGTGTTGGAATAATTTTATTGTATCTGGAGTGTCGGAATAATTTTATGTTGGTTCTATACAATATTTCTTTACAGATTGTTGTTATCCCAGATAGTGTCGCTGCCAAGAAAGTACCGCCCGTGCCAGGGTTATTGGAATACCGCAAGGACACCGAAAAACTTTATGTAAGATCAAATGAAACATGGAATGTGATTGGCGAAGAAAAGAAGGTAATATTCCCCGTGATATACTCTCCATAATTAACATCCTGCATGGGTATCCAAAAAGTCTCTTTTTCACGATGAACGAAAAAAGTATATCTGTAGAAAACACTCAGTCTTTCAGAAGTTAAAATTTCTCTGCTTTCTTAATTTAGTTGTTAGGAAAAGCGTTGAAACAGACCAAACCCGGATTGGAACAAGTTCAGAAAAAGGCAAGGGATGTTATTATTAAAATGTTAGTCATTCTTTTAGCGAGCTCCTCAGTTGTTTAACAAAACAAGGTTTATATATTTAAGAAAAATTTAGAACTGCACATATAGAGATGTTGCGAACCATCAGGGGTTTGACTGGGGAAAGGGGTCAAATGGATTAGATCTTTCACGTTAAGGTGTGACTGGGTGGGAGAAGGCCAGACAGACTCGATTTTCAGTGGGGGAGCTAGGAATTGTTCCACCAGATATTTTAAAATCTAGAAGCTCTTAAGCTCTGGAAAAGATTTGTTTTTCCCAACCACCCACAATTTTTTCAAAGCAATAACTGAGAATCACGACTATTCAATGTATAATAACCTTAAATTTGCATTTCAGGCAGCAAAGTATATCGATTCTCCCACTTTTGGGGAGCTTCGCTCGTCCCAATTTTATCTGCTGTTTCATTACTCCAGCATGTAACTGATTTGTGGGGAAAATAGGAGGGTGTGGGGGTCCTCTCCCAGAAAACTAATGCATTTTGTGCAGAACTGCACATTAAAATAAACCTTGAACACATTTGAGTCCCTAACTTCAATTCTAAAGCGTATTTGTATTTCAGCATTGTAAATTTGAACCACGGCAACGTTTGCTGATATAAATATTTTCCACAGATAACTATTCATGCAACATAACCAACATAAAACAGATTTTGAACAACTCAAGAAAAGTTTAGCTGAACTCAAATCACAGCTAGGAAGTGTGAACAACATTCTCATTGACATGAAGGGTTGGGGTAATGCTCTTATTTTGTTTCGTTAATTTTAACTTTAAATGATTCATCATCATGATAATAAGTTCAACATTCACAATGTGATATGAATATGGCAATTTTGAGTTAAAATCCTTTTACATTCATATTTCAGAAGATTCTGAAATACTTTAACAATGTTTATTGGTTAAGTTTTAAACCAAATTGTTTTTACATTGTGCATATACAATTATAAAGATGACCTACAGTATATGACAAAGGTTAAAATATCTACAATCCTGGACAAACATCTGCGACTCTTTCAATATTACTAGTATTTGTTGATTGCATTCCCAGAATACGATTAAAACTTGCAAAATCGCTTTTTTATGGGG